CAAAAAAAAAAAAAAAAAACAAGCTTAATGGGATGACGCTCCGTAATCAAACCCAGAAGACACTGATGTCAAAATCTGAGAACAGTTTGTTACTTGGAATAGGGCCTACTTCTGTTCATCACAATTCATGTGTCTACTATGCTGGGTTTTTTTTTTGTTTTTTTTTTTTTAGACAAAGCCTCAAGCTATATCCCCCTGGGTAGTGCCGTGGCATCACAGCTCATTTTATGGTTGCAGCCGTCATTGTTGTTTGGCGGCCTGGGCTGGATTTGAACCCAGCCACCTTAGGTGTATGTGGCTGGCGCCTTAGCCACTTGAGCCACAGGCACCAAGCCACTATGCTGGGTTTTAATCAGAAGTTGGTGTGAGTACATAAAATGAGCAGAATGAGGATAGAGATAATTGTGTATATGCCTTGCAGGGCCTTCCAGCACACCTATATCCTCTTGACTCTCCACCCCTCTCCATGTGTTTCCTAAGATGGGGAACAGGATGGTCATTTACCACTGAGAGAACCTTTATTAGCTTTGTCTTGTCTTTATAACTGATAGTACTGATTTCAGTTGTTTACAGGTATTAGGTGATAGTTTGAGATTCTAAGTCCTGAGAAATGAGCTCTTTTACTTTTTTCTTTTTTTCCCTCTTTTTTTCTTCTTTGACTTTTTTTTAAGGATCTAGGTATTTTTTGCTCTTTCATCTTCCCCTTCCCAATCCAGCTTTCCTATGGTTTCTGAAGATGGTCTTGTATATTACATGGGTTCTTCCACTCAACATTGGGGTTAATTCTGCAGTTCTGAGGGCCTTCGTGTTTGCCCTTCACTGTGCTGAAAGATTCTTCTCTCGTATGTTTAAAAGCCTGCTGCATTCAGGTTTATGCTTAAGTATCCCTCAGAGAGGCTTTCCTTGTACTAAAAGTAAGCTTTGGGGCAGTGCCTGTGGCTCAAAGGAGTAAGGCATCAGCCGCATATGCCGGAGAAGGTGGGTTCAAACCTAGCCCTGGCCAAAAACCACACACAAAATAAATAATAATAGTAAATAAAAGTAAGCTTTGTCACGCTCCCTTTGTCCAGTTTTCCTTTTTGGCACTTAACGGTTACTGTATGTCAGTTGTCTCCCCCACTAAAATGTGAGCTTCAAAGTTCAAGGCCTAGTGCTCGTCTCCCTGACTGTAGGGAGGCCCTTAGAACGGTGCCTTGCACATAGTGGGAACTCAGTAAATATTTAGTGAATTAAGAAGGGAGCAGCTGGGCAAGGTGGCTCGCGCCTGTAATCCTAGCACTCTGGGTGACTGAGGTGGGTGAATTGCCTGAGCTCACAGATTTGAGACCAGCTTGAGCCAGAGTGAAACCTCGTGTCGGTCCCAGCTACTCAGGAGGTTGCAAGAGAATCGCTGGAGCCCAGGAGTTTGAGGTTGCTGTGAGCGGTCATGCCACTATACTCTACCAAGGGCAACAAAGTGAGACACTATTTCAAAAAAAAAAAAATTAGGAGAGAGAGAGTGTGCAGGTCCTGACTCCATGGGGGTCATTTGTATTGTAGTGATATTTGTGTTGCTTGCAGGTCCATGGAGCCCGAGCTGTCCTGCAGCTGTACCCTGAGAACTCCCAGCAGGTAAGCCTCTTTGGTTCTGGAGGTCTGGGGGGAGGGGTGCAGGACTGCTCTTCAGCTAACCTGCCCTCTTGCTATTGGGGAGTGACAGAATAAGGAACTTTATACTGATAGGTAGGAAAAGGAGGGAACTAGCCAACCTGAGTAAGAGTGAGACTCATGTGCCTCTACCCCAGTTACTTGGGAGGCTGAGGCAGGAGGATTGCATAAACCTAGGAGTTTAAAGTTGCTATCATCTAGGCTGATGCCACAGCACTCTAGCCTGGGCAGCAGAGTGAGACTCTGTCTCAAAAAAAGGAAATGTGCACCCTACTGTGGTCCTTTTGACCCATGATAGCACATTTTATGACCTCATATCATAAGAGGGGTGGTATTGATGGGGGTGGGGAAGGAAATTTGTCTTGTTCTTGACAGATAAAATGGTATTACTGATAATGTGTTATTATTGAATTTTGTAACCAAATAAACGTGGGAAGAGTGAGAAAGATAAATGAGGCACTGTCCTGACTAATAAGAGTAAGTCCAGTTTCAAATTGGAATAATTTCTTGAGATTTGAGTGGGGGAGATGGGTGACTGATCTTGAAAGTGAAAATTAGGAGAGTTACTTTGGAGTTGCATAGGCCATAGGGCTCTAGCATGAACTTTTCTCTATATGGGTTTTGGGGACTTAGAATTGGGAAAGTCTGATAAAGAAGACTTTTAATTCTCCCAGGCAGGATCCATCCTGGACCAGAATGGTTTCTTAAAGGGAGAAGGGAAGAAGCTATGTGCTCCTCCAGCCTCCTCACTCACTCACTGCTTTTCTCTCCTCAGTTGGAGCTGATCACAACCCAGGCTACGAAGGCGGGCTTCACTGGTGGTGTTGTGGTGGACTACCCAAATAGTGCCAAAGCAAAGAAGTAAGCTCTGGGGCCAGTGCACTATCTGGGCTGCAGGTGGGAGAGCCACTCAGTGGGCCAGAGTAGTGCTGGGTGGGTCACTAGGGTCCAGGTAGGCAGAGGTCAGGGTGACAGGCCTGATCTCCTACAAGGCTTTAGGAACTCAGCCCTCATGTTGCACTTTCTTCTTTCAGGTTCTTCCTCTGCTTATTTTCTGGGCCTTCGATCTTTCTGCCAAAGGTGAGGGATCCTGGGTTTGTAGGCTTGTGTCTTTTGGATTCCAGGAAATGGGACTCAGCTTAAAGAGCATGCCTTGAGAACAATGGTGGTAAAAGAGCACAGAGCCTGGCATGTTGAAGTCTGGAGTCTGGAGGCAGAGACCTCAGCTCTCTAGGTCTCAGAAAGGAATTATGGTTCTTTTTTTGTGTGACTTGGCCTTTCAAAGGCTCAGGCTTTGGGTAGTCAGGCTTCTGGAGTGGCACAGATGGGTAGAGAGATCTCCAGGGTGATCTAAATTTCGTTCTTGCAGGGGCTGGATCAAAATCAGGATGAAGAGACCACCAAGGAGTCCTTGTTCACTAATGAGAGGTAAAAGAATTGTTGGGCCCTATCTCAGGGTAGGGATTGCCATTGCCAGGTGGTTTAGACATGGCATTTCTCTCTGCTTTTACCCAGGCCTCTACCACGAAGGTGGTGGTAGGAACTGGAGACCTCTTTTGGACTGTGCCTACTCCTGCCTTAGGGGCTTGGGCTGAGGGCCCTTCTGGATATCTGTGGGCAGCCATGCAGTCTTGACTCTCTTTGTGAGCCTGCGTGCCCCTTCCTCTTGCCTTCCCTCTTGCCTTGCTTGGCAGGCTGCCACCTATCTGCATCCAACCCCATCCCTTGGCTGCGCGGCTCTCCTGTCTCTCCTACAGCCTCATTGTTAATCTTCTGGGTCATCCCATCAGCACACATATTGCACAATTTATCTTATTTTAGTAAAGATTCTCCCTTAATTAACCCTATAACAACTCCTATCTACCACCCCGGTTATCTGCTTCCCTTTATAACAAAACTCACTCTTGCCTCTTCTGCTTCCTCACCTATTGTTCTTTTAGTCCACGTCTTGGGTTCATGCTTCTGTCTCTCATTCTCAGTCTTTTTCTTCTCACCCCTGTCTTAAACTTGCCTCCTCACTGGGATCCGAGACAGGCTATCATTTTTTTAAGAAACGGTTTCCCACTTTGTCCCCGGGGCTAGAGTACAGTGGTGTGATTGCAGCTCACGATACCCTTGAACTCTGGGACTACAGGCGTGAGCCACTATACCTGGCTAATTTTTTCCTTATTTTTTGTAGAGGTGGAGTCTTGCTCTGTTGTCCAGGCTGATCTTGAACTCTTGGGCTCAAGTGATCCTCCCACCTTGGCCTCCCAAGTAGCTAGGGCAAAGTTTCCCTAATTAATACTTTGTTCATTTGACCTTCAGTCTACTGTCCTGGTTTTCTCTTGATCTTGCTTGGCTGTACCTTCTTAATTTACTGCTGCTTCCTTCTTTTGTAGTACTCTGGGCCAAACCTGGGTCCCTTCTCTGTCTGTAGTGCTTTCCATACCTACCAGAAGTTCATGACTCCTCTAGTTACCTTTTGCCTCAACCACCATTTCCCAATTGTTGCCTCAGTGCCATCCCTGGACTTTCATAGGTGTCTCTGACAAAGCAGAGCTCTTGGTTTTCACCTCCACTCTTCTCCCCAATTCATTACCATCTCAGTCACTGCTGTCTTTCCTTTGTCTCCCATCCAGTCAGCAGGCAGCAAGCCCTGCTAACCTTTCCCTTGATGTGATCCCAGTGCCCACTGTTCTCAACCTCAGCTCACCTAAGTCACCACCCCTTGTTTGGATCACTGAATAGCTACCTGCATTGTTTCCCCTCTTCAGTTTTTTCCTCTTTCAGTTTATTTTCTGTATAGTAACCAGACTTTTCTTTCTTTCTCCCTCCTCTCCTTCCCCTCCCTCCCTTTTCTTTCCCTCAAAACTTGGGACATGGGGAATTTTTTTCTTTTCTTTTTTTCTAAAAGATAAATCATACCATTGTTTTTCTGTTCAGTATCTTCAGTCTTGTACCCCTTACCTTTATTTTCTTTTTTTTGAGAC